TGAGGGATATTTTGAATTTTTGGTGGCAGATCATCATTCACCATTTTATCCACTTAGAGAGCTTCTTTTACCGAATTCAACTGGACAGTTCATTGGGAATTTTGTTGCACGGAAATCAAACGAAAAAATCGCTTTCTACAAAATAACGAGTCCGTAAGACGAGTAATTTTTTCTGACAGTTTTTTTAATTCAATTCCCTAAAGGCAACAAAACTAGAATTATATATGTTAATTCGGTAAGACAATTTGATGAATGCGTAAATCACAATATGTCTTCGATAAGTGTGGGAGTTTCAATTTCTTTCGACTTTTTGGAGTTGGTCAAAATTACCTGTCTCTCCCTATCTGGATGTTACTATCCATATGAGTACTTGTTGTAAGATACTGCCGTGTCGCTATAGATATAAAACAGCATTGTAAGGTTATTCGAATGAGAAACGAACATTTGAATTTTTGGTGAAGGATCATTTTGAATTCTTGGGGGCAGAACATCATTCACCATTTCATTCACTCAGAGAGCTTTTTTAACCGAATTTGACTTGACAGTTCATCGACAATTTTGTGGAATGGAAATCAAACGATAAAATCGCTCTCAAAAAATCCGTAAAACGAGTAATTTTTTCTGGCAGTTCTTTTATTTAAATTTTCTAAAGGCAACAAAACTTGAATTATGAATGTTAAGTTTACTTCGACCAAAAAAAAGCTTGAGTGTAATTTGGTAAGGCAATTCGATAATTCCGTGAATCACAATATTGTTGATAAATTTTTCAATTTCTCCACTCGAAAACTCCAGATCACAACATTTTCGCAGACTAGATACTTTTCTGACAGATGCGAGATTGAAAAAAATTTACATAAACGCCATCAAAGTTTCGTTCATAATGATTATGGTTGTCATGGTTTCAAATGTTAGGTTCCGTTTCGTCGCTGGGAAACTTGGGGCAAAGTTTTTTCGCTCACAAAACGAAAAAATGACAGCATATTCTGAGAAATTTTATATCTGAATTGAATTGTCGAGGAAAAATAAATACTTATCCTTATGATCCTGATCAGGATAATAAAACAAAGCTATTGAGCTAAACTATTGTCATCGGATCTTGACAGAAGGGTATTCAACTTTGTTCCTTGGGGGGGGGGGGGTAATCCGTGGTGCGGGGGGTGACACAAAGCAAAAATAAAGCCGCAGGCGGAAGTTTTTGTTATTCAAGATCAAATGCCTTCAAATTAATAGTAAGGTTTGTCAGCAGGGTGTAAAGGTGTAGAGGTGGAAAAAATGATTTCAAATCCAATTGAAAGTTTAATATTCTAAAAAACAACAAAAATCGAATTATAAATGTCAAGATCACTTCGACCCGAAAAAAAGCTTGAGTTCTTGACAATTTGATGAATACCTTAACTCATATTATTATTGATGGTTTTTTTCGTTTCCTCCACTCGAAGACTCTCATCCAAATCGCGAAGTTTCCACAGATTATAGACATTTTTCTGATAACGCAAGTTTGAGGAAATATGACATTGACAGTAAAAGTTCTTGACAATTTGATGAATACCTTAACTCACTTTATATTGATGGTTTTTTTCGTTTCCTCCACTCGAAGACTCTCATCCAAATCGCGAAGTTTCCACAGATTATAGACATTTTTCTGATAACGCAAGTTCGAAAAAATATGACATTAACACCATGAAAAATTGTTTACAATTTTGGTTATCATGCTTTCAAATGTTTTGTTGCTGGAAAAGCAAGGGGACACTTTTTTCGTTGTCACAATGGCAAAATCACACCGGCTTACGAGATTTGATACATATAAGTTTAATAGTAAAAATGAATATGGAACTGCACCATGCAGTTTTTACATTTTTCATGTTTTAGGAAGATATTGATTAGATACTATACCTTTTCAACTTCAATTTCGGAAAAAGTAATCTCGATTTCAGAATTGGTTAGTTCGATTTCAGAAATGGTAAACTCAATTTCAGAATCGGTGAGATGAATTTCAGAAAAAGTCCATTCAATTTCAGAAATGGTGAGTTGTATTTCAGAATTGGTAGGTTCAATTTCAGAAAAAAAATCCTTATATTTGTTCGAAATGTTTCCAATTGTATGTGAGATTAACAAACCATATTTACAATATTCAACTTGTCAAAAACAATTCAATAACATAATTATAATCTCAATTTAATCCACAGATGCCTTCCATCCGAATCGCTGGAAGATGATAGCGTTGCACATGATTATGAGAATGCAAACACATTTGAGGTGTTATCATTTTCATTGAATGATCTGCACATTCCTCAAGATATCGCAGTCTGAATTCTATCTGGTTGAGCAAGCTGTTCGGATCCCCAGCTATGACCCTTTGGTGATGCTCTTGCAAGAAGCTCTTCACTTCTGACTTGAAGGCACCCCATATATGTTCAATCTGATTCAACATAGGGCTCTCAAACACCGTTCATCCACTGTAAACAATCTTCTCTTTTGCAATTAAAAACATTTCAAACATATAAAAGGATTTCATCTTCTGAAATTGAACCTACCAATAATAATTCTGAAATACAACTTACCATTTCTGAAATTGAATGGACTTTTTCTAAAATTCATCTCACCGATTCTGAAATTGAGTTTACAATTTCTGAAATCGAACTAACCAATTCTGAAATCGAGATTACTTTTTCCGAAATACAACTCACCGATTCCGAAATTGAAGTTGAAAAGGTATAGTTACGTGCTGAATAAATTAAGATTCATTTTGTGAATCTTGATATTTATTTCGATTGGCACACTGAATTTTCTTCGATCGTCTGGAGGGGGGGAAAGAATCACTCCCATTACCCCACCTTGTATACGCGTCTGGATTCTTGATAAGTGATTCTTGAAGTTCCAATTCAATTTGACGTTTTGAAGTGGGTCATACATATCAAATTTAACGTAAGAAATAAACTGTAATAACAAGTATATAAAAAATTGAATTTGAATCAGATGAGGTATTGTCCTTCTTTGGTTTATATACCTATCATTAGTAACTATATGTATTTTTATCATTCATTTTGTAAAATTAATTCGAACAGAACGTGCCGAAATATCATGCAATTTATAAGTGTATGTGTTTAACTAAACATTAATGATAATTCATAGGTTATTATAATAATGATTGAGTGTGAAAATATTTTTCAGTACCTTGGATATGAAATGTTTCAGTAGATCAGTAGATCAATACGCAAATCAGGAGATCTACTGAAAATTCAGTTGAACTGGCAACCCTGCAGCGAACAAAAAGTGTTTGAGGACAAGAAGTTAGTGTATGCGGACGAAAAGTATTTGCCTTCGGAAATAGTCGGTATTCCGCTCGGAGATTAGAACGTAAAATGTTTTTTTTTGTAGAGGTCAGGTTAGGTTTCACTGTGTCACCTGGTATATGATCAGGGCCTACTCTATCTCACCGGGCCGTAGTCCATACCCTCTACCTCGACGCTGACGTCACACTAGTAGGTTTTAATATCAATTTATCTTCATTCATATCACCTCGATGCCCTAGAAGTGGTTCGGATTCCACTATAAGCTGTAGGTCCCGCTCTTCCTAACCCCGCACAAGTTTCGACTTCTGGGGAGTTGGTCCCCAACTTTGAAGTAGCGATATACAAATTGAAAAAAAGAGATTATTTCGAAAATATATACTCCATAGCTGAAAATAATCAATTCGCTGTCAGGGTTTTTGCGTAATAACTTCTACTCGGGTAGGTATATAATTTCTAACGTCATCAAAGTGTGTCCAGATTATCTTTAGACACAAACGCTACTAAAATCCTCTGAGATACAGTAAAAGAGTATCATATCGATTTATAGGCAAAGAGATTTACTCCAAAAAAGTCGGTGACAGCATATATTCACTGCTAATAGGTTTATCATGGGAGCCGTCTAAACGTTTCGAACTAGTCTGTATATAATAATCATCTGAATCATCATTTTACTTGAATCGAAATATCGGCTTGTTATTGGCTCTTGGGAATTTTGAAAAAAATTACAGTCAATATAGATACAATGAGAAGCCTTTGCATGGTTGAATCATTTCTGTGAATTGAATATTGAAATTCTAGCTGCAGTTTGAAAATCGACAATTATGAATGTAGTCAATTCATTTTGATATGCTATATTTCTTGAACTATTGTCACGAATAGGGTTATTTCCCTTAATCTCATTCAAATTTATAGAAGGTTCGGGGTCATTGAACGGTCACGTCTTTGTTTATCAATTCCAAAATTTTCGAATCGTGAACGAACTTTTTTTCATAGTAGTTGAACATAAACACAGGCGTGACATTGACTTCAACGAACTTGGACTATGGACCTGATTTCCTAACTGACAGGTTTTCGAAAATATAGACGACTATTTGAAAGACGTAAGGAAGCGGGTCGTTCGACAGTTCGACTACCGGTTCGACTGCGAGTTGGACTGCCAGTTCACAGTTAAAAGAATATATATATTCTTTTAACTGTGGCCAGTTCTAGTTCTAGCTCTGTTTCTGTTATACGGGTTGGGAAAGTCTGAATTATATCCATTGTAAGATTGTAAAGTTGCCACTGTGCCCGAACCTTCAGGGGCAGAACAGAAGATGCCCTTCCTTCAGGCTCCCAGAAATACCAGTTAATTTATACATATAGGGTGAGTTGAGTTTTTAGTAATTGTTAATCATAAATCGAAGTATAAATGTGTGTTTATGTTTTGTTTGAAAACCTTTTTGAGTATTATTTATTCTTATCACTTTTGAAGTTCATTTTCTAATGGATCTAGAACACAACTTAGGCAACCCCCGCCTACAGTTTGTGAAACTATTAATCGTAAATCAGTGGATATTGATTCATCTCTTGAAGAAGTCTAGTCTGTACATATTTGATCTCAATTTCCAGCGCCTTGATATTGTTCCTACTAGTGTGACGTCACGAAAGCGATGTTCCGTCCCGGTGAGATAGAGTAGGCCCCGATATGATTCACAAGTAAATACGTACCTTCAACTGTTCCTTGAGCTGCTCGTTGACCTCCTGCAGCTCCGGCAACGCTGTGTCCGCCCCCTCGGGCACCGTCTCCAGCTCCTCCCGCTGCAGCCTTTCCTCCTCCTCTCGCCGCAGGGCCTCTTCCAGCTGTCGTTGCCTCGCCTCCTCCTCCTTGCGGCGCGCCTCCTCCACCGCCTCCTGCAGACGCTTGGCCTCCGCGTCTCGTCTTTCTACTTCTCTCTGTATCATCTCCACCTGAATCGGAATGATATCAATGTCAGAGACGGCACCAGATATATTCTGTCGATTTGCCAAAAAAGGGGAATCAACCCTATAATATCAATATTTTATACAGGGTTACTGGTAATTCGATACTATGGTCTTATGTTTGAAATGACAATATTACAGAAATAATTCAGATCATAGATGAATTGTAGATACAGTCGTATTTTTGTTTGAGAGTTGTGGGTTTTATCCACATTCTAGCGGATATCTTTAGAATAATCTCTAATCCACATTTGTCAAAAATTTGTTAAAACTTCCTTAAGGCGATAGCTATCTAACTGGGTACAAATGAAACTAAGAGTGCTTGATACGGATTTGTTATTTCAAAGGAATGGTATAAAACGCACTTGAAGAATGCCTATCAGTATTTATTTTCGGCCGGCAGTTTTAATTTTCATTTATTCGCTCGAGGCATCCAAATAGCATAGCAAATGTTCATAACATTCATCATTGGGCCAAAGAAAACCCTCGTTCAACAACGGAAACTAGTTTTCAACGGAAGTTTTCTGTTAATGTGTTGATGGGACTCATTGACAGTTATTTAACAGACCACATTTTTTCCTAGACAATTTAAACAGGGAAATGTATGAAAATTTTCTACGGCATGATCTACAGGAGCTTCTTTTTCGAACCGTTGGGTTGGAAGGTCAGGTCGAATAGGTTGGCCAGCGCGAAGCCCTGACCTAACCCCCCTTGATCATTATGTGTGGGGTCATATGGAAGAACTGATACAGATGATAAACGACGCTGCCCTTCACATACAAAATGATTTTTCAACTGGAAAAACAAAGATAGAAATAGGAAAACGCTGCCGATCATGTATTCGTAATAAATGTCTCATTGTAAACAGGATTTGTGAAAAGTGTATACTAATACTAGAAGCATTTCAAGTACATTTTTACTATTCATTCGAAATAACAAAACAGTATCAAGCACTTTTATTATCATTTGTACCCAGTTTGATTTTTTTTTCCAATATGCTTTATTTTCAATTCATAATAACAAATTTCAACAATACAAAAATGTTTTTGTTTTCTTTTTTCTTACCCTAACTAAATTTAATAAATACATACATATACATACTTACATATACATACATACATACAATATCTACAAATAAATATATTAAATATATACATATATACATGTAGGAAGTATGTGATCAAAACGAATGAAAATATTCAGGACAAGTTCAATTAAAACTACTCAAAAAATGTATAAATCTGAATAAATAATTTTCAAGCATTGTTCCAAATCAGCAATGATTGCTGGTACCAGAACAAAATTTTATTTGAAATTCAATGGCTGACAACCTGTTGCATCATTTCAGTTTTGAATGTAGAGTAACTATTTTTATTTTTTATCCAGTTTGGCAAATTATTGAATGTTTCAAGACATTTAGAGAAGGGATTATTCAAACCAATGTTTGTTCTCACCTGGGGTAGATAGATTTGGTTTCGACTTCTAGTTTCATATGAATGTATCTCATTAACTATGTTCATATTTGTGTTGCATTTTTGTTGATTTCTTGTTATTTTATAAATAAATTTACATTGTTCTATCTGTAGAATTTTTTCCAGCGGCAAAATTTCAGTTTGATGGTAGATAATTTCTGTATTTGTTCTGCAGTCATAGCCAAATAAAGTTTTTACTACCTTATTTTGTAGAGTTTTGATTTTTTTAAATAATGTTTGAGAACATATCCCCCAGTTTGTTATCAGATAACGGAATATAGAAAGAAAATAGGCGTTATAGATCATGATTTTATTTTGTGAATTCAAATAACTTTGGCACCTGTAAAGTGCTCCAATCATTGGAACAATTTTTTTTGTCATGTGTTCTGCATGTTTATACCAATTTAATTTGTCGTCAATTATTAATCCCAAGTATTTAGTATGATCAACCTTTTGAATTGCCTGCTCTCCTATTTTGATATGTGGGTCATGACTTTCTTTATTTTTATTTTTGAATAACATATACACTGTTTTTTTCACATTTATCTGCAGCTTATTTGCCAGTAGCCATTCAGCATATAGTTCTAGGTCACAATTTACTAAGTCTTCTAGTTCTGCCAAGTTTGATCCTTCATATACAAGAATGGTATCATCTGCAAATATGTAATAGCGAGCCTTAAGATTTGCTTTTTTGAGATTTAGGGTGTGTAATGAGTATAATAGTGGCCCAAGGACTGAGCCTTGTGGGACTCCACAGTTAATATTCAAGATTTCACTATTTATTTTATCTAGAGATACATACTGTTTACGTTCATTCAAGTATGATTCTAATATGCTTGCACTTTTTCCTCTTATACCTAAGAAGTTCAATTTATTTATAAGTATTTCATGATCCACTACATCAAATGCTTTTTGTAGATCAATAAATATTGTAATGACATATTTTTTGTCATCTAAGTTTGTTATGACATGGTTCAGAAGGTCCATCGTATCACTTTGAGTGTTTGATTGTTTCTGAAAACCATATTGATACTTGTCTAATTCAACATATCTGGTAAGGAAGTTCATGATACGGTTTTTTAATAGAATTTCTACGAATTTTGATAATGCACAGACTACGGTAATGGGACGATAATTTTCTAAGTTGTTTTTTGGTCTAGATTTATGGATAGGGGTAACCTTACCCATTTTTAGCTCCTTCGGAAATTCTCCTGTTTCGAACATTTTATTAACCAAGTTGACTAGGATTGGTATTATTGTCTCCTGCACTAATGATAATTCTTTCACTGTAATTTTATCATTACCTGGAGCAGAATTCTTATTCATTTCCTCTAACACCTCTCTTACTTCTTTCATATTAGAATCGTGAAGGTACAAAGAATTTTTTATATTGATTTCATCAAAATGATGTTGGAGTGGGTTACCTACGAGTTTCGCATTGATTTTATTGACGATCGAATTACCTATATCACAAAAATATTTGTTAAATTTATTTCCAATTTCCATTTTATCTGTTATTAATGTTTTATCAACCTCGATTATATGTGCACTCGTTTGTTCCTTTTCATGTTTTATGAGGCTATTTATGAAGTTCCATTGTTTCTTTGGATTTCCCTCAGTATCATTCCATCTTTTTCTGAAAAAATTCGTTTTTAATTTTCTTTTTTCATTTTCAACTTGTTTTTTTTTATTTTTGAAGTCCCCTAGTATTTGTTGATCCTGTGGGAATTTTTTCATTAGTTTGTATAATTCCTCTCTTCTTTTCAATTGGTCTAAAAACGTGGGAGTAATCCAGTCATTATTTTCCCTAATTTTCATTTTGATTGTTTTTGTCGCCCTACTTTTAGCTTCTTGTATGAGTTTGATCAAAGTTCCAAATGTATCAACTGGTATAGAATTTTCTAGTAGATTTTTCAAATTCTCCTGATATTTTGAGTTATCTAGTTTCTCGAATGTTTTTTGAATTTTACAATTGCACCTTTTAGTTTTTGAATATAATTCTACTCCTATTAGATTATGATCAGAAATTGTGCTGTATTCAATGTTTAGTTTACACTCTCCAATATTACTTGTTGCTAAAACATGATCAATGATGGTATGTGAGTTTTGTGTAATTCTGGTTGCATATTCTATACCTATATTGTTTTGGATCTCAAATCCATTCAATACAACACAATTTTTATATTCACTAGTGGTCTCAGTATTATCTAATAAATTTATATTAAAGTCTCCAATTATCAGTGTTTTTTTCTCCTGTTGTAGTATATCCTCTAATATGACCAAGAATTCCTTCACATTGAATGATGGTGGTCTATATAATGCTATAATTTTTATACCATTTAGCTGTAGATATAGCTATTGCATTGAGGAAGTTTTAACAAATTTTTGACAAATGTGGCTCAAAGATTTTTCTACGAATAACCGCTAGAAAGTGTTAAGTTACCTATTATCTGAATTTTTTCTGGAATTTTTGTAACCCTGTATAGTAATAATACTCCAAGTCGTCTCCACAACGTTCAATATCATCAATAATCAAATCATAAATAGAAAGGGGGCATGTTTCGGATCTATAGAGTATCCATCATCAGCCGATTGAGAAAATAATTCTACAAAGAACAAAGGATATCAATGGTAAAACATGGTAGTACTCACGTGGAGCAGAAAAAATTTTGGTAAAACTGCATTCATCATGCGAACATTTTTTTTGGTTCGTACGTATTTTTGTCTGAAAAACACGAATTTGATAATGAAAATGTAAACAAACCATTATTTATCAAGATATTTCACTATAAAGTTACAAATTTCACCTCCTTTTCCGCCTGTCTTCTGGATCGTATTCAAAACAATTTGCCCTTCTGTTTCCATCATTGGACAATTTATATATTTCACAATGTACGACACATTTTTTTATATAATTGAGTCGAATAGAAATATGATGTTCTTGTGGTTTATCCATATTCAGTGAGAACAAGGAAGAATATCATTTAAAATATTGGCGTGTGTGATGTCATTCAGAAGCAATCTGTTGACATTTGACATTTCGTATTTGAATTGACTATTGAATAAATGGCCGTGATATCTGGGTATGCTTGTTCACTAAATAATAAAAACTCGCCATAAAAATCGTATTTCCTGTTGAATTTTCTATATAAAAATGTGTTATTGAAGTACATCATGAGTATACAGGGTAACTCACGGTCGATTGTACGCAAATCATTGCCAGAACTTGCAGAAAAATATATATCCTGAATCGACACCAATGAACAAGAGGAAGTTTGTAAGATTACAAAATAATTTCATCAACTATGGCTCAAAGTTTCCAACAACTCTAACAAAAATCAGCTTATCTAGCATAATATGCTAGATTCACTGTGAAAGTACAGAAAATCACAGAATTAGGAGGAACGAAAGTAACAAAAGCATAAACAAAATATCACATTTTCACGATAAATGCTCGAAATGTTGTCCATTCCCTTCTAAACATTTCAAAATATGATTTTTGTACGCGACTCGTGGTTGCCTTTTGAATTTCATGAGGATCCAAATCTTCAATACACCGCACTATTCGCCGTCGCAGTTCTTCTTTGGTAGGCACTGGAATACTGTACATCCTTTTTTTAAAACACCCCATAAAAAAAAGCGGCGTGAGATCAGGTGATCTCGGTGGCCAGTCCCACGGACCAAAACGGCCAAACCAACGATCCTCAAACATTTCGCAAGGTTTCCTGGAAACTTCTTGAATTGAATGAGCTGGCGCCCCGTCCAGTTGGAACCATGAATTCCTATATTCCTCTAAAGGCATATATCTCTCAGCATTCAGTGTGCCATCGTAAATGAATACTTTTTCATAAAATTATATTTTTCACAAAAAGCGGCTTTATTAAGAAAACTTGATGATTTAGGTATAGGGACATGCTATGTCATCTTGTAGAATTTTTATTCGTCTTTCAATTTATTGAGTAGAAAACAGTGGGTTCTATTCGAAAAAATGGACTTTCGACCACTTGTATGAACAACGGATATAATCATGATTCCAGCACGCCCTGTATGATATGGAGGCGACTTCTCGGTGTGAATTGAATACATCAAGCCTGTTCAAACCACCACTACAATATCAACTCTTTATGATTCGAGAGCCCTGATTTACATAAGTTCAATTAGGGATATGTTTTGGATCATATTTAACACAAATTATTTTTTATCTCGAAAACCGATAGAGATAAGTATAGGGATTCATAAACAAAATAGTATTGTGATATAAAAATTCAATAATATACGGGATGTTCCATTTAAAAAAATGAAGTTGCTAGGACTTTTTGATAGAAACGGCAACGTCGCACTTTCGAAAATATCTCGATAGAACAGGTGATGAAATGTAAGATGCGACATTTTCAAAAAATCCTGCGTTGCGTTCTCCATAAACGTCTAAGGTACCATCGACCGTGAGTTACCCTGTATAAAGTGTCCAATGACAAAATAAGAAGAGCAAGTACCTGTAAATGCATCCAACACAAAGGAAAAAAACAAGGCAAAATTTCGAACTTTTTCATGAAATATCTCGATAAATAGTGGTTTGTTCACATTTTCATTATCAAATTCGTGTTTTCAGACAAAAATACGTCAGTACCAAAAAAAATTGTCGAAAAAAAAAACCTATCGCATGATAATTGCAGTTTTACCAAAATGTTTTTGAAATCACATGTAGGAAAAAAAAATATTATTTCATGAAAATTTAAAGAACTTTTGTTATTATAACAGGTTTTCTAAACAGAGGCCCTGTGCCCCGATGAGCCAGTGGAATCGCCACATTAGGAGGCCGAAAGACATCCAAAAATGGAAGAACGCGTTCATCTTGATCTCGCTGGATTAACCTGATACCATGTGGCTCAGCTGTCAACGGTGATGTAAGACAAGAGACAATAATTGGTTCCATGAAAATCATGACAAACTTGTGGATGGTGACATTAGAATATAAAGATCGGACTTGAAAAACTCATTTTCTTTTCAAAAACTCTAATCAGAATCAGAAAGATCAGGAAAAACACTACAAGTGGAGCTTTTCAATTTGTACGGCACACTTCGACCGGATTGATAAAAATATATCAAAGAAAATTCAAATGCATATTTCTTCGATTTCGTCCGGGCCATTACTCACTACATTCAACTAAAAGTATTCGAATCAGTTTTTTTGCATATGAAATAGAAGCAGAGTTGAGGAAACGTTTTATTAAACAAATTCAGGACCGGACTTGGTGTTTGAAAAGAATTACCAAACATAATTTTCGAAAAGAGATTTGTCTGTATTTTTCAACGAAGATTCTCAAAATGTCCTCCTCCAATTTCAATACATTTTCTGTATATCTTCGGAAGATATCTTGTGGCTTTTCGAATAATTTGCCTATTATTCCTGATCATATCTGAAGCTGTAACAATCCTCTCTTTGAGTTGCTCTCTGGTATTGACCAGTCTGATAGACCAATCGTTTCTTATGTCTCCATAGAAAATCTGAAAAGTCTCATATTGTGAGATTTGAGGACCTAGAGGTGGCCAAGAATGAGGCCAAGAATGAGGGCCGTCACGATCCATCGATTATTTTGAGTAATGTCGAGGTGCCCCATCCTGCTAAGAGATAATACCTACTTCAATACATTTTCATACATCTTTGCATCACAGTCTTCTTTTAGAGTGTTTGTTAATTCGATTCGCTGATTGTGAGAGTTCACATGCAATAGGGGATATAATATTTAATGTTACCACAACATTTTCAATTTGTACCAGTAAGCACGTATATCTGATTCGGAAAAAATATTTTACCTAAGTAATAATTTTTCAATTTTTGGTATCTCTTGGAGCGCACGAAAGTGAATTCCTAGAATGTTCGGAGAACATTGTGCGTACCTAGAGAGGATAGGTAGGGGAGGAAGGTGTTGGATTTTTTTCAAATTAGGTACTTATTTCCATGTCTTGAAAGGTCTCTTCAAGAAAAGTGAGTCTGGTCCTGGAATTTTCCATCGAATAGAGCCTCTTTCAACTCATTATAATACACCGATATGCAAGAGATGGATTCAAATGAAATTGTTGAACGATGTGACTACAATAGCCAGTACGAAATCATTTAATCGTTCATCAGTATTTTGTTCGTTATTTTTTCGCCAACCCGATCGAAGTGTGCCGTACAAATTGAGAAGCTATCTGTAGTGTTCTTCCTGATATTTCTTGATTCTGATGGAAGTTTTTGAATAAAAGTCGAAATTACGACATTTGAAAAAAAAATTAGTTTTCCAAGTCCAGCTCTGGATTTGTTTTCCATAGTGGGCCATCGTGTGGTATGTCAGTAGAGGTGAGTGGCTAGTGAATTTCAGGCGATAACATCGAGACGGTCCTGAAATATCGTTCATCAGAGTTTCGCCCCTAATTGAAATAATGCCTTGTATTTCTGTTAGGCTATGGCTGGTTAGTCATGACTCACCCTGTACATGGGTTACTTTTGACAGACTGTGTATAACGATCTACTCACCTCTTCGTGTTTCGCTCTGATCTCCTCCTCCAGCTTCAACCTCTCGGCCAACTCCATATTTTTGCTGTGCTCCAACCTTTCCATCATCGTCCGCAGCTCGTTCCTTTGCTCCTCCAGCTGCTCCTTGGACCTTTGCAGCTCTTCCAGCTGCCTCTGCAGCCGCTCGATGGTCGCGTTGGCCTCCATCAGACGTTTGTGGTCGCGTTCCATCTCGTCCTTCATCAGCTGGATCTGCTTCTTGTACTCCGCCTCGCGGTGTTCGGCTTCCTCACGCAGGGTCTTTTCTGAGTAGTACTTTTGCCTGTGAAGATCGAAATGTGCGAACTAGTTGTTTATTATACAAGGGAGACAAGTTGTAGGTTTTAGCTCGAGGTTGTGTTGTCTCCCGACGCGTAGCGGTCAGGAAAAACGACGAATCAAAATATTGAGAAGATATCACGTTCAGCGGCAGGTCGGACCATGGTCAATTCGTCTCAATTCGTTCAGACCGTAGTCAGACTATTGACCAGTGAAATTAGTCCAGTCACCCTGTACTTCACCGTGGGGTTACCTGGAAAAAGGTCCGAAGTTAACGATCTCTTCATATGATGTATGTGGCAAGTCTGTGGTGTAGAATCCAAGGTTTCCAATTCGAGGACCCTGTGCTAACTTCAGGGCATCCGAAAAACTAGTAAATTTTCGGACTTTTTTAGTATTTTGCTTATAACTCCTAAACAACGCGTTCAAGCGGAAAACACAAGGTTACAGAACTTAAAGAAGATTAAATTTCCTACAATAATCATCTATCACTTATTTTTTTCACCAAATACGTACCAAAATATAGCGCTTCAAATTCTCACAATATCGAAAAACTGCTAGAAATTCAGGTTCTTCACTAGTATATTTCATCCACTATTTCTTGAAATAGTTGAAATCGAGGAACTTGTGTGACTAAGCACAGGAGTAATTGCTGATGAAGGGGTGAACTGTCACATGGCGCGAGAAATCGGCATCAGCTGCATAAAGAATATGGTGGGAGAAAATTTTGAAGAAGTAAAGTTGAAACGGAAGAATAAGGTGGTAACTTTAGCCTCTGTTTCCAGTGTTCTAAAAATCAAAAACGAAAAATTCACAGTTGACCCTCTAACTCTTTTTCAACGAGTTTGCATTACCAAACAGTCTGCTGAGGATCTCAATGAATTATTCGGATTCGAGCTTGCACCATTTCCCATGTCCCTCTTCAGTGAGGAAGGTATGATGCGCAAGGGCAAAAAGTCAGCGTTATACGAAGCATTCACTTCTGTAAAGGAGGAATACCTTGGCAGCAGAAAGTGTGCAGTAATTGATGGTGGGTACTTTGTAACACTCCACACTCTGAGTTCAGAATTGGAAAAATTTTGAAACAAAAAATATGAAGTTTATACTTATGCCTTTGGGCTGCTCAGATTGATACGGTAGGGTGTGAGTTCAAAAGTTACAATTTTACTGTTAAGATGGTAATCGAGTAATATGAATTCTAAAGTTGATTTTAAGGTGATTGATTTGACTGTTCGATATATTTGGGCGCCAGGCTTGCAAAAGACAAAGCCAATCAGATACTTTCTAAAAACCTTGCTTGGATGAGAAGACAAAACAAATAATATACAGAGAATCAATTCAACAATTTATTTCCTTGAGAAAATTACAAAAGGCTGAAGGCCAGAAGAATTAAGGATTACAATAATTTGTGAAGTGTGAAGTGGCTGAAGGCCCTAAAATAATGTTGAGAATTATGTAAAAGTGAGGTGGCTGAAGGCCCAAAAATAATATTGAAGATTATGTGAAAGTGAGACTGAAGTGGCTGAAGGCCCAAAAACAAGATTGAGGATTATTTGAAAATACTGGAAAATTTAAGAAAACAAGAGAAAGGTAGCAAAATAGATTCAGAACATTCAACTTTACATAGAGCTATTGATCCGATCTGATTCCAATCGAAGGTCTTGGCACTTGGGTGGATTATACCTGGTTGGCCGGATGAATTGTCCAAGAGGGTTTCCTTAAGGTAAATTGGAGTTCAACCTTCAGAGTCAGTTCAGCTTCCAGCTCTCGGTTCTGCTTCCAGAGTTACCAAGTACTGTGGTGGGTACTTCTGGGGATGGAAGTAGTAGGGTATAGCCTCTCCTTCAGTTCTGACTGCTCAGTAGGGAATCTCTAGGTGTTACCGTTCTTTACAACCCTCTTTGGTTAACCAGGATCCTCGTAGCAGGTATAGACGTAGAGTGCATGCGGAAATATACGAGGAATCAGAAAGTTGTCGACAAGGTGATTAAAGGGACGAAAGGATATCCTTTGAACCGCTTACTGAGTTTTATGTTCTGAATTTAAATATTTTGGAAAGTAACAATTTTAAAATTTCAGGAATTTAGAAAAATTAAGTAGGTATGTATAATGAACTGATTTCAAAGAAAAAACTTGACACTTGAAAAGTTCGTCGTTTTGAAAGGGAAAGAGGAAATTGACTCAAATTAAAACCGGAAATAACTGAGAATCAAATCATTAATTTGTTATTCAACTCAGAGAGATTATTTGAATAAATCAGAATAATGAGATATCCGAGTATTGATATATTATTACAAAAAAATCAAGGAAAAATTATCATTTATCTAATGAAGAAACTAAATTCAACTTTGATAAATTGTAGATACTGAAATTCAATCAAGAAATTATGAAATTGGAATATTAAATGAAGGTGGCAAATCCTTCAACTAAAATGCCGAGAAAACTACCTTCTAGTGAAAGAAAAAAAATTGTAATATCTGTATACAGGGTGGCAAGTCCTGTTCAAAAGTAAAATGCCTGATAATAGGTAGTCTTTCAAGTTTGAAGTTGACAGGTAATCTACTTTTCCAGGAAAGTAAAAGAAAAGGTATGTATAAAGATATATATACAGGGTGGCAAGTCCTGGTTCAAAAGTGAAATGCCAGAAAATAGGTATGTACTTCAGGTGTGAAGTTGACAGGTCTGGAATTGAGATCTGGTATATCTGGAGATAAGGAAATAGACATGCACTGACATGTGGTTTGCTGAGTTGACCAAGAAAATACTGACAGTAAGATAAAGAGAAAAATCTCCCTTCCAGAAAACTTGAACTATAGATTGTGCTTTCGTCACAAGAAGGCAAAACCTATACAGGAACCAGACAAATTTTGACTGAACAGGCTATAGAGAGAAGGAAACCTTCCTCAGGTTGCATTTATTTCTCAGAGAGAATGAAAAATAACTTGGAAAAGAAATTCACAAGTTGATTATAGAAATTAAATGCTCACCTGAGTAAGAATCCTGGAAAGGTACAGCCTGAACGTCAAGGTTCAACTCCAAGGCTCTAGGTCCTGTAGGCTCAAGGTTCCTGGACGAGACACAGAGAAAACTTCAGTTCAGGTTTCCTGGATGAAAATCTGAGGAAACTACGATGACGTTTGAATTTCCAATAGGTACCTAGAAAAATTTTTGAGAAAGTAGATGCTGTTTTCAACTTATTGATTGAGGAAAAATTAGCAAAAAAGCTGTTGATAGCAACACGTTAATAAAAAGCAAATTCAAGCAACAAGGCAGATAAATCCAGGTTTTACTTAACCATTAAGCTGAAAAAATTGTATATGACTTATAAAATTTGTCAATTTTACGAAAATATCATCACAAAGTGCTAATAAAATATAGAGAGAACTCAAATATCCAATAAGTTGATATCGATGACCAGTTATTACTTAAGAAACCATCAGATATGAATTGTAACCTCAATTTACTCGAATGCAATTATCTCTCTCAAAAATGGAATTTCGATCAAAAATATATCAATAAATATTTGATTCAATATGTAGTAATCAACTCTAACAATCCAAATGTCTGCGATGACAAGTTATTTCATTAGAAAAATAAAGATAGATCCAGACCTACCAGATATCTTCAATTCCCACAACCTATCACTTCAACCTTTCAAGTCGGTAGTTCAAATCAGAAGGACTTAGATTTTCCTATTCATTCTTCGCGAAAGATCCTGTCATCTCAATCCTTCTCCTGATTGGTTATTCAGTCTCCCTTCTTCGATCTTCTGTGACGCTGTCTAGCGGGAAGGACGAGCGCGCAAGACTTGATGAATTCGATATGGTTATTGAACCGGTGAAGGGCTGATAAGCGGAAGTAGATAGAAGAACGAATGGACGTCAGATAATTAAATGGTTGATTGATTGAAAACATCTCAATGGAACGGAATAATCGTTACAACTTGCTGCATAAGGTTGTATGGGGTAAGACTACATCATCCACGTTCGAGTCAGTTTGCAAGACCTATGTGGACTACGTTCAGAAACACTTTGGGTGTAATTCCATAGTAGTGTTCAATGGATACCCAAGTGACGTTGTTCATCAGCGCACCAAAGCAGCTGAAAGACATCGCAGGGCTTTGCTGCATTCTTCGACAACATTCGTATTCTCATTAACAACGGCCGTAACACTGCCACAAAAAAATTCTTGTCCAACGACACAAACAAGAAGAATTTCATTTCGTTGCTGATGACTCAAATGGAAACGAAGGGTATTCAGGTCAAGCAGGCAATAGAAGATGCTGATGCCATGATAGTGAAAACTGCGATATCTGAAGCTTCTGACTTCGATAGTGTTACTATTATAGGTGAAGACGTAGATCTGTTAGTATTGCTGACTGCGTTGGGCTCATCTCTAAAGAACGTGTTTTTCCAAAAGAGTGGGAGAGGTAATGCTCCGAGTACTTTGTATTCGTCATCATCTTGCAAATACAATACTCAGGATATTCTTTTCTTCCATGCAGTTAGCGGGTGTGACACAACATCGAACCCTTTTGTAGTGGGAAAGAAGAAAGTCCTCTCTATTTATGAGAAAAACCATTTTCTCTCTGACATTGTCAGTGTTTTCAAAGATGAAGATGCAACACCACGCCAAATTTCGGTAGCAGGAGAAAAATTTCTTGTGGCACTCTACGGTGGAAACATAGACACAGAGACTGTGGACGATCTTCGCTACCGAATATTCTCGAACTCTGTGGCAAAATCCAGATTTCACCTTGCCCGATTGCCCCCTGCACGACACGCTGCCCAGTACCATTCTTTTAGAACTTATTTACAAGTGCAGACGTGGCTGGGCAACGAAAAGTAACCGTCTGTTTGGGGCTGCACTCTCACAAAACGAGGGTTGATACCCATAACAACGACCACAGATGCAGCTCCAGAAAAGTTGCTGCACATGATACAATGTAAGTGCATGACAGGTTGTAGCACCGGAGCTTGCAGCTGCAAAAAAGCAGGACTCCGGTGTTCAGCCATCTGCGAGAATTGTGCAGGAAATGCTTGTGAGAATTCGCCTGAAACCGAACTCAACGAGGAAGATACCGACATTGAGTGCCACGAGGAGGTCGTCATGGATGAGACCATTGCTCAGGACGAAGATGCCGACCTGCCATTGAGAACAACAGAGTGAAGGCTTTTTATTTGTAATCATTTTAATCAGTTAATAAATTAAAATCTCATTGAGGAAGAGTTCCATTGTTCAGGTTATTGAAAGTTATTCATATACGGATATTGAAACGTGAAAGATAAAAGTTACTTGAGAAAAACGTGCATTATTCGCAGTTTTTCGATACTTCAAAGCGCCATATCTCGGTACCTATCAAATTTTGAGCAACGGTTTATGAATGTAAATTGTTGAAAATTTTATGCTCTACAACTTTTGTGATAGAGTATCTTTGACTAAAGTGCTTATTTTAGTAGTAATAAGCAAAATAATGAAAAAAGAGGCAAAAATTTGTGGTCTTTCGATTGCCCTGAAGTTTGCACAAGGTTCTCGAATTGGAAAACTTGGATTTTACACCACGAAATACCCACTTACAACATATCAAAAGATCATCAACTTCGGACCTTTGTCCAGGTAAAATTTACCTGGTGACTGGACTAAATTTGAGGCGTTTACGTTTTCAAAGCGAGCGTTTACAGCGAGTGCTTTATTTCACTCGTTTTGTATGTTTTCGTTCGTTTTGTCACAGTGTTTTGTTGACTTGTGACGTGTGACGTGAATATTTTTATCGTCTATTTATATTGGAGAAGCATTTTGGACTCTAATGAATCTGTTTTGAGTTTGATATCATCTGAATAAATAGTAAATAATATCAAAACATAATGGAAGAGAAATTTGTACAGTTGATGTTGATTGCCGTAATGGAAGATGCGGAACAAATAGATAGGCGAAGATACAGTCGCGTGAAAATCACTCTGATGATTTGGGTTACACACAATTTATCAACATGTTTCGCATCTCCAAAGAATAGGTTCGACACCTAATCAATATTACCTCTGATTTTATTACATGACCTGCACATCGTGCTCAAGATTTGGATATCTCCACAAATGTTGGTACCCAATTATCACAGAGGTAATACATATATTGTGCTGTTTACTGTGTTTAGTTTCCATACAGTTTTTCGCATGAGAAAGTTACCAAATGGACATGAGCTGCAATTTCAACTTTGCTGTGTCCCAGTTATACATATTTCTAGACGTGTGAACAAGATCGTTGAGGTACTGGAACCAAGTTGAAATTTTCCATAGATTCATCAAATTTCCTGCCAATACCTACCAATACCTACCTACCGGCTAAGAACAGAGTAGATTCAAAGTAATTGGCTTTTATTCAACTGATTTTTTAAAATTTTTGTTTCGAAGATTCAACAGAAGATATGATTTTCCAGGTGTAATAAGCTGTTTGCCTGCACTCACAAATAGCTTTTCATCCTCCAAAAGTACATGGTTATGAGCATCCTGAAAATATCTATGTAAATAAAAAAAACTATCATTTAATAAATGTACAATTAATTTGTGACTACAATTTGGAAATTGTTAATGTGAATTTGGTTTCCTGGTGATACAAATGATGTTTTTACATGGAATAGTTCGAATGTCGAAGCAATACTGAGGAGGTTACATGAAGCTAAAAATACTGATTATTCTATCTTATTATCATTTATTATTATTTATTGCTATACATTTATGTTTTTCTGATCTAATAAATCTCTATTCTCTGGATTCTTTTGTGCTTATAATGACTGTGAATGAAGAATCGTAAATTATGTTCCTATATTGATCACTTCAACTGTGAATAATTTTTAGATCAGGTAAGTTGATTCATTCAACACAGCATTTGCATTATAAAAAATATCAAGAAAATTTGAATCAACAGCTCATTTCATAACTTTCGTGAAATAGGTATTGACGGATGCTCTGATCGCATCACGATCGCATCAAGCGTATACGTTTTGCGAAGCGAATGGTCGTTAAGAATACCACTTTGAAAAAGAACTCGTACATGAATCATTCGTTTCGATCCATATACGTCAAATAGCTCACTTGTCGAGAATACGGCCCCAGACCGTGGTCCACGTAGTCTCATTTAAAATGAGGCCAAGCATGGTGAGAATGAGAATGAAATTTCAATTTTGATTTAATAAAAAGATCGATAATTATTTTCGAATAATAATTGATTGCATCATAATCCATTTTCCTAAACGAATATTTATATTCAATCACGTTTATTCTTAGATGAAAGCAAAAAACGAGAAAATATTTCAAATAATGCGAGCGCTCCCCATTAGCCAACATAAGATAGAAAGAGATAGGTATCCATAACCACTGCGGGTTGCCTTAACAATCTTTTTGCCTCACTCGTTCACAGAGGATCCCTTCCAGGTGTTTACCTTGAGCTCAATGAGTCGAACTTGCATCAAATCATTTTTGACACTTACTTTTGTTCATTCCTTCTATTCCTAATTTGCGCAGCCTTCTCCTTCATCTTGGTAACTTCCGGAGATTCCGGTTTCCTCCTTTTCACATACATTGAGTGATTTCCTATTCCCAGGTTCAGTACGGATTTGCTCATTCTCCCGCTCGACGTGAAAATCACAAAATCTTTCGTGTTCTTGACTGTCGGTTTGATGATGAATTTTCTGTCCTTGAATTTCAGGTTCTTTATTTCTGACCACGGAAACGAAATTATCGGATTCAATCTGGAAAATCATCACATATACAGGGTGATTCTGTAAAAACTTCACTACTTGGAAGGGTTGATAGCAAATACATATTAATAACTACTAAGAAAACAAACAAACAGATACAGGGTGGATCAAGATTCAGAATTTTGATCACCCTGTATCTGTTCCGATTGAATATCAGTAATTAATATAGTGAATCAAAAGGACATGTGAGCCGTTTTGGTCAATAATACAGTGTGTCCCACTTTGGGCAGCACCACCTTGGTATTTTCTTAATCGCAGACAGATTTAAAAAATTTTGTGTTTCAACATGTACCTACTTCTCAATGAGTTCTACATTTCTGAGTATCCAACACTCTGATTACACTATACGACACGGCCAACTATGATAAATTGAAAATGCCTAAAATCATTTAGTAATATCAGGAATTTTTTCAGCGAAAAACTGACATTCTCAACATGTGAGAACCCCCTCAAATACATGTGGTCAAATTCTCATGATGATATCACATACAAAGCGTTATTTATTGTCAATTAATTTTTGATGCTTGAAAATAATGAGAAAAGTATAATTAACATCATGATTTCATTCAGATACTACTTAAAAACACATGTTTCATAATGACCTAATACACAGGATGATCGCCAGACCTGACGCCCCTTGATTTCTTTTTATGGGGTATCTTAAAGCAGAAAGTTTATAAGTCTAGACCCAGAAGTAGTGAAGAACTGCGAGAAAGAATTTTGGTTGCATGTCATGACATTACTCCTAGTACAGGGTGGGCAAAATTGGGCGTTTTCACCGTCTATCTCAATAACTAGAGGAGTTATCGAAACACCGATAAACATGTTCCGGGTTCGATTTTGGAGAAACCTCGAATGGCACAATCAAAATCTCGATATCTTCATTCGTTTTAGAGATACAGGGGGAAATTGAAAATTTGCCGATTTCGATTTTATTTTCTGACTACTTTACGGTGAGAAGTATCAAAAAATTCCGAACGTATATGTATACAGTATGATGCGTGGAATCCATTGGCATCATCAACAATTTTATACATGGTGACGTTGAAAAGATACGGCAGCCAATTATGTTTTTTCTAATGGAACACCCCGTATATTTTGGCACAGTTGAATAGTCCCAGGCGTTCTCTATACAAATATATATATAACCCTACCTTTTCCTTCCACAATTTCAGATATATTCGCAAAAATATAGTCAGTGTGTCACATTTCTTATGGTTACACCCCCGTATCTTCTGTAAAAATAATTGAGGTAGGATTCAAAAATTCGCAACTGTCAGAAAGATACAAATGATACACTCATAGAGTCATGGACCAAGTGGGATCATCTCCAATGAGAACACTGCTCGCCAGCAGCTATGGAATCATCGATATTTCTGGATAATGCTATCAACAGGCAGAATCGAGGTTGAAAATGACACTCTGTATATATTCACCAAATGTGGAAAATAAATATCATAGGGGATATAATTTCCAGATAAATGGATATTTGGTGAGAAATAAAATGGGAAATTATTCGATTTGATATCATTGTTAACAAGACATTTGAGATACAGAAATAATACCAATAATTTACTCAATTAGGAAATCAGTAGGTTGCGTTGAAAAATATAGCCTTATAAAGGATGTCCGAATTCCAGATTCAGAACAATTTTTTTATGGAACACCCCGTATATTTTGGCAGAGCTGGAAAGTTCCCGTTTCAATTTCAAATATATATCTTATTTATTATCTCTTTGAACGCAAAAATATTAAGGCATACTAGAAATAATAGGTGAAGTATCATATTCAGGCATTCTGCCACAAAATATTAGGATTGTTAATGTTTCCATCAATTATTCTTACAGAAGATACGGGGGTGCAACCATAAGAAATGTGACACACTGAATATATTTTTGCGAATATATCTGAAATTGTGGAAGGAAAAGGTAGGGTTATATATATATTTGTAATGAGAACGCCTGGGACTATTCAACTGTGCCAAAATATACGGGGTGTTCCATTAGAAAAAATATAATTGGCTGCCGTATTTTCTCAACGTCGCCCTGTATAAAATTTCTGATGATGCCAATGGATTTCACGCATCATACTGTATAAATATACGTTTGAAATTTGTTGATACCTCTCACCGTAGTAGTCAGAAAATAAAATCGAAATCGGCAAATTTTCAATTTCCCCCTGTATCTCTAAAACGAATGAAGATATCGAAATTTTGATTGTACCATTCGAGGTTTCTTCAAAATCGAACCCGGAACATGTATATCGGTTTTTCGATAACTCCTCTAGTTATTGAGATAGACGGTGAAAACGCCCAATTTTGCCCACCCTGTACATTGAAGAAGGTGGCAAAAAATAACAGAAGACGAATTCTCAAATGTATAGAAAATAATGGTGGATTGATCGAAAATACTGAAATTTAGGGAGTAGCAATGATAGAGGGTGTTCACGAGTTGAATCATTTCTGTTAACAAGTAGTATTGAAAAAAATCACTACTCACAAGTTATTTTCATTATCTTCAAATATTCGGAATAAACATAGGAACTACCAAATTTGAAACACAAGAAAAGAAAACAAATGTTGAAAACAAAAAAATCCAATTTGAATTGAAGCAACCATGAAAGTTATAAAAAAATATTCGTAGTTCAAATATCATCCTGTGTATTAGGTCATCATGAAACATGTGTTTTTAAGTAGTATCTAAATGAAATCATGTTAATTATACTTTTCTCATTATTTTCAAGCATCAAAAATTAATTGACAATAAATAACGCCCTGTATATGATATCAATATGAAAATTTGACCACATGTATTTGAGGGAGTCAGTTTTCTGCTAAAAAAATTCCTGATATTACTAACTGATTTTAGACATTTTCAATTTATCATAGTTGGCCGTGTCGTAGTGCAATCAGAGTGTTGGATACTCAGAAATGTAGAACTCATTGGGAAGTACATGTTGAAACACAAAATCTTTGGAATCTGTCAGCGATTAAGAAAATACCAAGGTGGTGCTGCTCGAAGTGGGACACACTGTATAAATAGTTTCGATACAAACAGATACTAAAGTTGAAAAATCTCGATTTTGAACACCTTATATCTCTGTAATCATTTCCCATAGACCCAAAGTGTAATATATCGATAAAATCAACTTTTCAAGAAAAATCTGAAAATGCAATAAAATACAGGGTATTCCGTTCGAAATAACAAATTAATTACTACTTTTTGATAGAAGCGGCAACACGGCATTGCATGAAATATTTCAAATGAAAAGAGCGTATTCGTGTCATTCCACAACATAATATGTTAGTACACTTCGTTTTCAGAATATTCCTTATAGTATTGGCCAAGTACTGAGGAAAATCAAAATTTCCATTTGAACATTTCATCACCGCTTTTGCGTTACTAATTTATAATACCTAATTGTTGGAAGAAAAATAAATCAGAAAAGTATATGTTTTTCTACAACGTTTGTAAACTGTCATTCGACAACGTGAATTGAATATTGTTTTCATGCTAATCTTGATCAATCAGGAGAGGTACATTTATTTGAAACTTTGATCATAATCTTGAAATAAACATCTCATCAATACCATTTCGTGACCATTTTCATATCTACTTGTGAGGAAAAAACGTTAAATATTCGACAACCTGTACTATACTCGGTATAATACCGCTCATTTGAATCGTTGATACAAAAATTTGTTAAACCCTATTCCGTAACTGTGTCATAAATGTTCACGAAAAAAACGTGAAAAAATATTTCTTGACAACATTTAACAACCGTCATCCGACAACCTATAGTAGACATCGTTATAAATTCATTTTTCATCGATCCGGCAAAGTTCTCGCGGTGAACTAACGTTTATTTGAACCTGTTCTTGAGCTGAACGTTTTTTAAACGTTATTCTCTTGTGATTTTATATTCGTTTGTTGGGAGATAACGTGGAATATTGTTTATCAACAGCATTTGTGATTCGTCATATGTGTGTCGATCAATAAACGTTAACATATCTCGCTGACACTCTCACCAGATGTTTAGATGCAAATACAATCAGCCGAGCAATTCAATAAAGATACGTAGAGACAGTCATCTCACCAAGAAGAAACAGAAACAGCTAAGAAGAAAAATAATATGATCAGTAACCTCACGCGTCGTCAGACCCACATGGTCACATACGCTTCTCTAGTGTGGTGGACCAATAGTAAGAAAAAAACAGCTCAACTCAAGCTGCAAAAAATTCAGAGACTCGTGTGTCTTGGGATCATAGAGGCTATGCGTACGTGCCCTACTGCAGCAATGGAAGCTATGCTTGATCTACTACCCTTGCATATTTTTATCAAGAGGACTGCAGCTATCAGAGCATACAGACTGGATTCCACTGAAATGGCCAGACCAGGTGATGTCACTGATCACATGCTGGTCATTCTACAAGAAGTACAAATGGGATTTGCAACCAAACCATAGGACTTAATGCCAGCCAGGTTCAGTTTCGATCCTGCCTTTGAAGTGGTTATTAAAAAATCGCCCTAGGTGCGGTCCCGCTGAGCCTCAGCTGGACAGAGGGTCCCTTGTTTGGAACATCGATGGTTCGAAAATAGAAAAAGGGATAGGCGCGGGTTTATATGAGCCCGGATGTAGGCTATTTGGAAGCCTCAAGTGACTCCCCCACTATCTTTCAAGCTGAAATAGATGCCATCAACCTATGCGCTCAAAGGTGCCTGAGCAAAGTTCTGAGGGGTGTCAACATATATATCTGCTCAGACAGCCAAGCCGCACTAAGAACCCTAAGATCATTTGTTTCCACATGAAAGATTACATGGGACTGCTCTGAAACACTCATGCATCTGGGAAAGGACAACAGTCACACTTATGTGGGTCCCAAGGCATGAAGGAATCAAAGGAAATGAGGCAGACGATCATCATGCAAAGAAAGGTGCAGCATCTGCACTCTTTGGTCCTGAGCCTTTTTGTGGGCTGAGCAAATGTCACCTGAAGGAAGAACTCAGGAAATGGGAAGAAATTGAAAAGTCCTTCTACTGGAGAGCAACTCTAGGTCAACGACAAGCGAAAAGTTTCATCAACCATTCGCAGAACCGAGCCAAAGAGCTACTCAGCCTCAGCAAATCAGAGCTTAAGCTCATCACAGGCATTCTCACAGGACACTGCCCTCCGAGGTACTACCTAAAAAAATGGGCCTGGCGGAGACTGACACTTGCCGCTTTTGCAACAATACGACCGAAACCGCGGAACACATACTTTCCTCATGTAAAGTATTAGTCCGCCAACGGCTGAATCACTTAAAACATGTTTATCTCACACCTGCTGAGGTGGAAAATTCAACCGTCAGGAAAATTCTAGGCTCCATCAGAAGTCTAGGGTTAGAGGCCAGCGTAGCCTCGTGGTAAGAGCGTCAATGTTCTATCCATGTTGGATTACCGGTAGTGGGTTCGATTCCCACCACGTCCACAGACATTTTTCTGATGGCCTAAGAAAGTGTTTGGGATCACACGTTAAAAGGTAAGACCCCCGTCATTCCTTGTTCGCACAAGTCACTTGAAGACTTCTGAGGGTTGCTCGTAAGGGGGCAACCGAATGATGGATAAGAACAATTTTTAGGACCAAAACTAGATAAGGGTAATCACCATAGATCTTCTAGGTTGCAGTGATCGAGAGGTCTCCCAGCCTATATGACCCATCTACAATCTACAATCTACAATATGATCAGAATATCAGATTGGTCATAGTTTGTAATAATAATCATGATCATAATGATTGTTGACATACAAATACAGCGATACAGGATACATAGTGCGGCTGTATGGTTTGAAGGTTCAAAGAACGTTGCATGAAAGTTTAATATTGACGTGTCTGATAATGAGTTTCTCATGAGAATTTGATTACCAAAAATAGGAACATGTGAACATTGCATTAACGTATACTATTAACGTGTTCAGATCGTCAGTTTAGAACGTATGGAACGTTACTTTCATTTTTGAGCAAAATTTGGTCAAGAAAACGATTTTCTGCACTACATTTTCCGTTGCATCTAACTATTTCGAATTGTATTTTCAACGTCACTGCATGCGCATTGGGTCAGAATGTCCAAATTCGACACCGCAAGAGAAAAATTAATCTCTCTGAAGATTATGACATTTTGGGATCGATGCAAGTTATTATTGTCTCACCTATCTTCACGTTTGTATACGTCAAGTCCTAGGGCGTTGATTCCAAGAAGTAGCTCCGTTCCTTTTTTGTTCGTTATATCGAAATATGTGACGCCGTACATTTCCAGATTCTGGACCAGCTTCAGATACTCCAGCATGGCCTCCTCCTTCTCCAAACCTTTGTGCTTGATCCACATGCTCGTTATGTTTTTGTTCCATTCAGTAGCGTCCATCGAGTATTGGTTGATCACCCTGAAAATAATAAAGAATATTGGGGTAAGAGAACATTTTCACTGAACTGAGAAAAGTGTCTGAAACATTCTCAAAATGTCCAACACACGAAACGTGAAATCGATGTTTTTCGATCGCTTTTATTCATCTTAAATTTCGACAGTTACTATTTAAATAACCTTTTTTTATGTTGAAAACAGTAGTACATTCGTTCCCGAAACATCTAAAGCGAAGTGAAAATTTGATATTTTTTCTATGTACATTTATTTCTCTTCTCTCAACCTTTTTCGATACGAATTGTCACTGACAAGCTAGTGAATTTTTCTTATAGGCTCTCTAATTGGAAAATTCTTTAAACGCAGTGACATTTTGGGGCAAATCATCTGATTTGTCCTTACTACACGTATATTAAAATAATATTCATATTATTATTTTATAGAAACGAGGAGAGGAAATCCCAAAAAATCTGAAATAATGAACTTGTTCTTAGTTCGGTACTCCATGAAAGAGCGTGCTTCTTTAGTCTACTATTTTTTACAATAGCTGACCCTGCAAACGTTGCTCTGCTATGTACCCACATTTATTTCTAGAAAATATTTTCTCAATCAAATATTTATCTTCACATCTCAATAATTTTGTTTTCTACCTCTTTTTACTTCGGTTGTGCATAAAAACGCCTTTCCTCAGTTTTCCAAACTACTATTTATTCATTTTTTACTTCTTTTCAGTTCGACAATCTGACTCTGTAGCTATTTTCTACTTTTGGCTATCAATAAAAGCTTGTTGCATTATAGTTCTTTGCAAACTTTCATTTATTACAGGAGCTCGTTCGTCATATTAGATCGGCCATCCCGAATTTACTAATTTTGATGAAAAATTCATAATCTTCGTCCCTAAAAACCTCCAGAAACCAATTTTGAATGGAATCGGAGCATAATCACGAAACTCGTCCGACATATATCAGATCCATCATCTTGAATTTTCAAATTTTGACGAGAGAATCATACTCTTCGACTCCGAAAACCCCCAGATACCAATTTTGAATAGAATCGGATTATAATAAAATAACTCGTCCGCCATATTGGATCTGCCATTTTGAGTTTCCTGATTTTGCCGGGAGAGTCATAATCTGGAACACCTAGATACCAATATTGAATCGGATAGAATAATAATTACAAAACTCGTCCGCCATATTGGATCCGCCTCGTTGAATTTCCTAATTTTGACGATGGAATCATAATTTCCGACTCCGAAAACCACTAGATACTAATTTTTGAATGGAATCGGATTATAATTGGAAAACTCGTCCGCCATATTGGATTCGCCATGTTCAATCATAATCTCCGACTCCAGAAACCCCCAGATACCGATTTTGAATAGAATCGGATCAGAATTACGAAACCCGTCCGTCATATCAGATCCGTCATCTTGAATTCCCAAAATGTAACCAAAGAATGATAATCTCCGACCCCGAAAACCTCCAGATACCAAATTTGAATAAAATCGGATTACAATCTTTATTATATTTAATCTTGAATTTTCGATTTATGGATTAGTTTACTACCGATTCTCAGACCTACCGAATATGCACAAAAATCTTCATAAGAATCGACCAAACCGTTTCGGACGAGTTTGGCAACAAACACCGTGAGAGGGTCAGGAGAATTTTATACAGGGTGTTTCTTAAGTACGTGTAGAAAATTCAGGAGCATGTTGCTGACGGTAAAATAAGAAGAAAAGTTTGTATAAATATATGTCCGAATGTTATTCGTTTCTGAGATACTGAGTGTCAAAGTTGAATTCTTATTTTTGTTTTTTGTCAATAAATTTCAGAAAAATGGTGATATTCGAATGAAGTTCGGTATGTAGGGGTATTTCTCAATGACAATATCAAATTTTATGTTACTTTCTCTCTTGCGCCACCTACATGTCTTTTGAGTCTTTTGAAGAGTCATAACTTTTTTGTGTGTACCTGTATCACGTTTTATAGTAGAAAAAATAATTCTCTAGAACACTTTTGTGTAGAAAATATATTCTTGGTAGAGGTCGCTGCGAGTAACTGTTTTCGAGTTATTGAGATCTGAAATAATCAATGCAAGTAATTCTGAATGACAAGAAGCTGGAATTCAAAACTGATTTATAAAGTATGGGAAATTATTTTTCTTTTATTACATTTTGAAATAGGAATCGGTTTATGATACAATTTGATACTGATGATAATAACAGTAATCAAGACCAAACTAATACTAAAACAGTTAGTTGAGGGAATTGATTGAAGTAATTGTTCAAAGTGGCCAAAAAAGTAGGTTCAAATTCAAATGCATCGATTATTTCAAATGCCAAGAATATATTTTTTACGCAACAGTGCTCGAGAAATATATTTTTCGACTATAAAACGTGATACAGGTACGCACAAAAAAGTTATGACTTTTCAAAAGACTCAAAAGACATGAGGGTGGCGCCACCTCCACGAAAGAGACAAACTAACAAAAAATTTGATATCGTCATTGGAAACTACCCCGAGATCCCAAACTTTATTTGAATATCACAACTATGTTGAAATTTATTAACAAAAAACAAGAATAAGGATATTTATACGAACTTTTCTTCCTATTTCGACACCAGCAACATGCTCCTGAATTTTCTACACGTACTTAAAAAACACCCTGTATATTAAGTAGTATAAGGTCCCGTGATGATAATATATTTGACTACCAAGGTGTATACTAATTATTCTTTCTGCAACCGACACAATAAACGTCGTCTATTTATATCAAAAATAGATCTTGAATTGAAGTTTCTATTACTGTAACAAACATAGGCATGTATTTAGGCAACACTTTTAGTTCCAAGGAGCTAAAGTTCAACGTTACCTCCTAGGAACTAAGAAGGATGTACTAGAGGTCATCAAGAATAAACAACATGGTTACAGTTGGTTATTTGGGTTGGGACGCATACCTGATTTGTTGCCGATTTCGGCAGATTTGGCATTTTATACCCGTGCTGGAGATATAAGTACACCATATTATAGTTGGGTATGTTTGTTTTGATCAGGAAAGCCTTTAAGATCCCCATACTTGCTTGATCTGTATTCCACTCATTCTCGAGATCTAATTGATTGGAGAACTTTATTTTGAATAATCACAGCCAGCAATACTTTTCTCTTTCACACAACGATATTGTGAACTTCTGTTTTATTACCAAGCCAAACACACTGGAATATGGAATGAAATAAATAGTTGCTATCATTATTGTTGATATGCTCACTAACCTAACCTTTTCCACTTGTTTTTCCTATACCTGGCACTGGCGCAGTATTTGCTATTAGGGCTAAAACCTGGTCCAAATGGATTCATCCATTTATCGATTCAAAATAATACACTCTGTGGTGGTATTTATATTGAAACTACAATTCGAACATCCTTGAAAATTGAATAAAACTGATCTGTAAATGCACTGTGATTGTGAATTGTGATATAACGTTAATGAAGAATTATAGATACTACCGCAAAATATCATAATGTATCTTCATTAGTAATCAACTTCATTCAGCCAATGAGAGATTAATGGAAATTATTCATAATACTTGACCAAGTAGGATTAAAGAACCTTTTATATCCCATTGCTATTTTGATATATAGTTATCATGCATTCAAAGAACAATTTCCGAAAATCGGGAATCTAGACATATTGATGATGTAGGTAACGTGAGACTGGCACAGGGAATCGTATTTTAACTGTGTGTGAATGTGAATTTTCAGAAAGTACGTCATAGGAATGGTGGAGGAGCCAAGTTCCTCTATTATTTATTTTTTTCTGAAGTGAAATTTGATCTTACGAAAAAAAGAAAAAGTACGTATATATTAATTTTTTTCAAACTTCAGAGTGAGATAAAAAACCTCAATATAGGGAGCATCCCCATTGAAAATAAGTTCTTCTATAGTGACAATATAGTTCCATATTCCATAACTATAGTAATTTAAATATATTGCTAGGGTGAAGAATAGTAGATTGTTTCATTAGGATCCAAAGTGACACTTTGTTTGACAAGCGAATGCAAAATCAAAGAGCTACTTTTAATCCGAATGAAACATGCTATTTTTTCTGCACCCGAAAGAATTAACTGAAACAACTATGTGAAATAACCACCAATGTGACTTACTTGACAGCTCATTATAATACCTTCATTATAATAATATAGATAAGTAGAAAGAAGCAAGACCTCAGACTACTTTACACTAGGATATTAGTGGACGATGACTTCAGTTTGTTATACAATTTTGTTGACATGCAACATGAGAAAATATTCTACCACAATATATTCTCTGTTATTCACAACTTGTCAGTCATTTTTTTGCTAATGAATTCGTTCCTTAATAAAACGGATCTATTTACTATGAAAGTTGCAAATTTTATCTTGCAACAGCGCCTAATACTTCGAGTCCGTCCACACCACTCAAAATACTGACAGACACAACAAGAGGAAGGAGCCATGTGTGTCGGCTTCATTCTGTTCTGACCGATAGCAGTAAATTAGGATGGATAGTATCATTGAATGTAGCCGATAGTGATTCATTGATTCAATTATATGTTCGTTCAGGATCGAGCTCTATTCAAGATATTTCAATGCATAAATAACAAAACCATCACCAGTCAGAATGAAGCAAACTACCTTCTGCATTCCTGCTCCGAGTGCATTTGTGGTTATGTATGTTTTTGTTTACCAGTTTTACTTCTTCTTCTATTTTTTTTTCGATCGTTCTTCATTTGTTAGTTATTCGTTAGCTATTCGCTAGGTATATTCTTCACCATCAGCTATTTTCAGACTAGATTCAGAATGTACGTCACAGTTTGCCGGCCCGAAAATCAAAAATTACTTCAATTTGGAAATAAAAACGACTTGAACTGTATCGGTCGCCAATGTGTACAGCGTGGACATAAAATTGGAGAGTTCCGAACCTATTTTATAAAGATTCATCTGAAGGAAACTTTTCCATTCCTGTTAAAATCTGGTAGCATATGACGAATCGTTATTGATAAATTGAATTCAAGTGCCATTTCTACGAATCTCGCATCAGTTCATTGAATTCAGGTTAACGAAAAAACTACCTTGGAAAGAAAAAACACACTCGATCCACGCCTTGAGAAAGAGTGAATAATTGTAGGTTCTATAGCTAATGGTGAAACATATTCAAAACTCACCTATCCGAAATGAGTTTTTCTTTCTTGATGATATTCTCGTTGTGTTTATCGGCATCGTGGTCGCCGAATTTGGCCTGCAAGGTGTACGAAGCCAGCAGGACGCTGGTGTCTGCAGGACAGTAGATTTCGTCATTCAAAATGGACGATTTCACTTGAAGGAAAAAATATTCGATGGTAATGTTCTCGATGAGCTCTTCTCCGACGTCTTCCGGATAATATTTCACTTTGTAATACAAGCTGGCGTTGGTTTTCAGATGATCCTTCAACGTCTAAAAAAAGAGAAAGAATTAATGAAACGTGAACAAAAATGTCACCAACTTTCCACAAATTCATTCCCACATGTTTTGAACTATCGTGAGTCCATCATCAGCAGTATGATTTGAGAAATTTCTGAAAAGAAAAGTTCTTATACAGGGTATGACGAGCTCACACTATCTCTATATCGAGAATCAGTCGAAAGGAATCCATGGAAATATGCATGCGTATAATTCAGAATGCGCTCTCTTTATTCATGATATTTTCAGCAATGCAATGTTGCCGCTTCTATCAAAAAGTAGCAACAACTTTGTTATTTCAAATAGACCCTGTATTCCATTTTATTTTCAGATTCTCCCTGAAGAGCTAATTTTATCGATACATCCTAGGGGTCAATCGAAAATGATTACGGAGATATAGGGTGTTCAAAATCGGGAGATTTGTCAACTTTAGGATTTGTTCGTGTTGAAACCATTTATTATCGGCCAAAACGGCTCACATGTCCCTATCTCAACTTTCGATTTACCATTCACTGATATTTAATCGATTGAATATCAGTAAATAGTGAATCAAAAGTTGGGATTGGGACATTTGAGCTGTTTCGACTGATAATAAATAGTTTCGACACAATAAAATCCTGAAAGTTGAAAAATCTCGAATTTGAACGCCCTATATCTCTGCAATCTCTCCCGATAGACCCCAAGTATGATGCATCAATGGAATCAGATCTTCAGGAAGAATCTGAAAATGCGATGAAATACAGGGTGTTTCATTCGAAATATCAATGTTGCTACTTCTTTCTAGTAGAAGCGGCAACACTGTATTGTCGAAAATATTTCAAATGAAGAGAGCGTATTTTGAAATATATGCATGCACATTTTCATGGATTTTTCACGACTGATTCTCGATGTGAAGATAGTGTGAGCTCGTCGTGACATACTCTGTATAGTAAAACTAAAAATTACCTCAGGTTATGTACCTACTCGCGAGAAAGTGAAAACAGGGAAACAGCGATATATTATTAGTTATTATATGAAATGTAAATATTAATGAAGGGCAAAGTACCTATAGCCCAAAGAGGACTTTATGAAGGGTACCAACAGTTGGTCATCCAAGTAGTTGGAATGGGGCCCATCATGAATATCATGATTACCGTGACGTGGTAGAACGGCAAAGAGGGGTTGACGTGACATCAGATGTACAAAAAATGTATCATCTTTTTATATAAAATCTTCATAAGTATTATCACGATGTTCTGAATATTCTTCGACATAATTCTGTCGCTTCCTTGTTCACGAAAGTGTGTTGTCGGTGCTGCTGTGCACAACACAATGGGGAAGACCACTGAGAAAAGAAATCCGTGCAAACCTCTTTCAATCGACGAATCATGATTTACGTTTGATGTACAATCAATATTATGAGTAAAGTTGAAGGGAATCGAATCTTTATCGTTTTGAAATCAGCATATTTCATTCGATATTTCAAACAGCCAAATATGATGGTAGAGTCGTGACGTATTAGTCCCGAACAGTATTTATCTCTCTCTGATACCTCGTCATTCTGCAGTGTTGCAGTGTGATTCGTCAGTTCAAGGACAATAGGCGTTTTGGGAATAAGACGTCGCCCCAGTCACACCAATGAGTTGACAAAATTTCAAATGGCGCAGGAATTGTGTGTTTTGAAATGGACATATTCTAATTTATTATTTTCATCGTCTTAGCATGAATGAGAAAATTCATAATTAATTCGCTGGTAGTTTTTCAGTATATAGAGTTCACGATAATGCCATTTTGAAAAATCAGTGGTCTCCCCCATTGCGTTAACAATGAATTACATAATTATGAGAAGATTTTCAAGACAGAGTGATATTTTGCCGGACTATTTCACGTTCACGAAGCATGAAAAACATGTATAACATCTTAGCGATGTATTCTGACAACGACAGCTATAATTATTTAATTCCGAACCCTTAGACTTTGCTTCGCTATTCATGGTTACATCGTTGAAAATACCAACGCTTATGTAAAAACTTCACGAACGATAAGATTTCCACTAAATTCTCAAACACACGACATGTTTCGCTAACACAGTAGCTTCGTCAGGTGATATACTGGTACGATGAACTAAACTAACATTGCCTTGCTTATACAGAGTGTCCCAAAATTGCTGGGACACAGAGCTACCACGTGTAGGGCAGGTCAAAATAAGTTGATTGGACCCAATTTATTCATGTGCCAAAATGTACCGTTTGTCCGTGAAAAGGGTTTAAAGTTCACATAAAAAAACACATTTTTGTTCGCTGTTCAGAAATAAGTGTATTCTAGAGGATTATTTTCCTTTTGGTAATCGAAGACACCTGAAAGAAATTGTGGAAGGGTTGAAACCACCATCACTCTCTGACATTTTACTTTTTTAGGGGTCATAATGCGATTCTGGAATTATATAGACTAATCAATTACCTTCATTTGATTACTCTTGTAAAAATTTTGTATATTGCATAGTTTCGAAGAAAAAGAATTTTCTCTCATATAATGCTACCAGATATTCCTATGGTACAAGTTTGAATAAATTGTGATATAAAACTTAGTCGGCAGTGGAAATAAAATCAGAACGTTTTTTCATTATGAATGTCCAGTATCACGCCCATCTTCATTGATACAAATATCAATTCGACGTAAAAAATAGAAATGCACCCTCCTCAGGACATCGTCGTTGTCTCGTAGTGCATCAACGGCATTTTGGATTCTGTTAAACAGCTGTTCGAAAGTATCAATTTGAACTTCATACACTTGTGTTTTTAACGCTCCCCAGATGAAGAAGTCGCATGGATTCAAATCTGGAGACCGCGGAGACCATTGAATAGATGCTTCTTCTCTCCTACCAATCCATCTTTCAGAAAATTGTGCGTTCAGATATTGTCTTACTGCACTTGCAAAATGAGGTAGTGGACCGTCGTGCATGAAGAAAATGTTACGACGAACATTGAAGGGCAAGTCCTCTAATAAATATGGCGAAATTCCTTGAAGAGCGTGATGGTTATCAGCACCATCAAGGCGATCTGACAATCGGATCAGCCCAACCAAAAATGTTTCGATAAATCCGATCCAAACATTAATTTTGAATTTAAAACAACAAACTTGAATGACAGAAAATTTACTGTCAAAATCACGACTTGCCTTCGTTTCTACTGCCAACTAAGTTTTATATCACAATTTAATTGTAACTTGCACTATAGGAATATCTGGTAGCATTATTTGAGAGAAAATTTGTTTTATTTGAAACTATGCGGTGAACAAAATTATTACGTGAGTAATAAAATGAAGGTAATTGATCAGTCTTCGAGCTCTGAAAATTTCAGAACCGTATACCGTATTATGACCCCTAAAAAAGTTCTGGAAAAAATGTCAGGGGGTGAGGGTTGTTTTGACCCTTCTACAATTTCTTTTAGGTTTCTACGACCATCAAAAGGGAAGCAATCCTCTTAAATACACTATTGCCAAATTTCATCGAATTTGTTTCACTCATTTCTGAACAGCGTCCAAAAATGTGTTCTTTTATGTGAGCTTTGAACCCGTCTCACGGACAAACGGTACATTTTGGCACATAAATAAATTGGGTCCAATCACCTCATCTTGATCTCCTCTTCACGTGGTAGCTCTGTGTCCCAGCAATTTTGGGACACCCTGTATATCCTACTTTCCCAACATGAAGTATTAGTTACCTGTGGATAGGTTCGATAAACCTCCATTTTCGGAAATTAGGCACAATATCTACAGTAAAATACGGTGTATCGGATTAACTTGAAAGGGTTGATATCAAATATACATATTATTACCTTCTAAGAGAACAAATTCAACAGTGGTGAACTATTGAAGTCTAATTGATCGTTGAGTAAAATGTCAGAATTTTTGTAGAATTTCGAAATGTTCATCAAACTATGGTTTTCTTCTAATATATAGTTGGCGTATGTTGAATTTGTTATCTTCTTAAAAAATTTCATCTTATGTTCATGAATGCGCTGATTAAACGTACGACCTGTTTGACCAATATATACTTTAGGACAAGATCCACAGTTGAGTTTGTATACCCCTGATTTTTCGAATTCAGAAGTTTTGTCTGTATTATTCTTGATAAACCTTCCCAACGTGTTATTCGATGTATATGCTACTTTTAAGTCCTGTTTATGTAGAAATGGAGCTAATTCTTCAGTTGATGATCCAAAATAGGTTAAAGTTGTCTCTGGCTTGTGATTGGTCAGATTATTTCACGAAAATCTATCAGGTCAAAAGGTGTTGCAGAATTATAAAATGATATTCAGAAGAGTGGTATTTTGCTAGATTATTTCACGTTCAAGAAGCATAAAAAGCATCCATTCTAAATTAGTGATTCATTCTGATAAGTACAGCTATAATTATTTAATGCCAAACGGACAGACTTTGCTTACAATACAATACAATACAATACAAGTTTTCTCTGGCTTGCTATTGGTCAAATTATGTGATGAGTGAAATAGTCAATGAAATATTTCAATTCCTATTTTGCCAATCATCATACTTTGACGTCAGTATTTCACAACATTGTTCTATTGTAAATCACCAATCACCCTGTGAAGGACTTCAACAAAACAATATGAAATAATATGAATGGATTAGTTGAATCGGAGAAATAGGCTGATAAGATATTTTGTTTCAATACAATGGATGATGTCACCTTATCGGTAATATTTTCCGTAATATTATCACACAGGTATAGGTAATCCTTTTGTGGCTGATAAGGCTCGTGACATATGTTCGTTTGAAAGGTATATACTTATAATTTTTCTGAATTGAATCATCGATAGATACAAGATAAAAAAACTTCGAAAAGTAAGTTCTTCAATTATTGCATTCGAATACCGTGAGATTCAGCATTTTTAGATAATAATAATAATAATAATAATAATAATAAAAATGTTTATTGAAGTTCCAGCAATATACATAAAATATATAATGTAGATAAATGAAGATGAAGAACT